TGTCTCACTGCTGTCTCACTGCTGTCTCACTGTTATTGTGTTATTATTTGTGTTATTTCTAGGTATTTCTTGTCTAATTTTGAGCTGAAGCCTTATGTGAGTATGTAGTGTTGTTATGTTTTATTACATATAAAAAAATACTCCCTTTGAATGTGTCTAATATGTTTTTTACCCAATATAAAGTTCAATTACCTCGTTAAAATTCTATAAATTACATCTACACCTACTCCCTCATTGAAATAATAAATATTATATGAATATGCAAATGGTATGTTTCAGTATTACACTCGCATACTGGACAGTGGTGAAAGAAGTAATTAGATCCTTTACTATAGGAACAGTACAGTGTAAAAATACTGCAGAAAAAAAGTCCTGCAATCAAAATGTTACTAAAAAGTACAGTATCCCCCCCTTAAATGTAATAGAGTAGAAGTTAAGTTAAGAAGTATAAAGTTGCATAAGATAAAAACACACTTTCCACAATTGATACTAGTCCATAATTGACCTTCAGATTACAAGTTTTAAAATGTGGATGAATGTGAAAACTGACTTCTACTGTCCAACTCTGCATATAACAGCTACATCATTCTGCACAGTGAAGGTCAAACATGAAATATGAAGTGAAACAACAATAAGCAAAACACACTTTTGAGCAGATCAAATTGTATGTGAACTGGGTAATTCAGTTAAAATGCAATGAGAAACACCTCAAGGTCCCTCCCTCTGTGAACCAGACTCTTATCAATGACCATGAGCACAAATCTCTACTGATACATGTAGTAATAACACTTCTTCATAAGTTAGCCTTCATAAAAGGTTTATGAGCATTAATAAATGCTTTATAATTGGTTAATAAATCCTTTATAGATCATTTTAAAGTCTAATAGAATAGCATTTGGGTTGCCAGGTTGTAGAAAATCCTCCTCCAGCATCATACTTGCTGTGTCATTTTAGCTTTCTTTTTTTAAATCCGGAAAACCCCTCAAGTGTTTGAACACTTACTCTCTGGACAAGATCTGCAGGGCATCTGAACCAAAATACATTCATAACCAACATTTACAAATGTGAAATTAACTGATTATTATAAGAATCCTTAATAATGATTCATCAACTCTTGTAGATGCAGTCCACTGACTGACTAACGTTTTATGATGGCTGATTAGAAATTGAGAAATTCAGGACCCTTTTATGACATACTGACACTAGGACTAGTGTTGGGTGACCTTACTTGATTTAAGTTAAAAGGCGATTCATTTGTTTGAGTTGAGATGCAAAAACCTTTTATTACTATGTACTTAGTATGCAGAATTTCCTGGGCAACTCACATGAAAATACTCAAAGTAAAAGGACCTAAATATTGTACTAAAGCACAATAATAGAGTACAAGCACATAGTTCATTTCCTAAGTGTATAAGATCAAAATTTCCATGAAAAGAATATCAATCTACAAACATAAAACAGGCTTAATTCTTATTTAAAGAGGGTGGGATTGATTTATGAGATAAGATCAACTGTATGGATCACACACAGGGAAATTTAATTCCTGTTGGCTCATGTAGTCCATATGTACTGCAGCTACTGGTAATCAATATACATTGACCCACCTAAGCAGGGGTAATATCAAGGACTCTCTGGCCCTGGAGGTTAAGTCTCTGTCCACTGTAGGTACATGTTAAAAAACACACATTTATCACTTATTAAAATCACCACAACTCAGACTCAAACTCAGCATCCACCTCTCTCAGATGTTGGGGTCCTTCTCCGCCATCTTGAGGCCCTCTTGAGGCCCTCTAGAGCCTACATAAGGGGAGGAGACTCCTCACAGGACAGTCCAGAGGGGTTAATCATTTGAACACTAGCAGCACAGAAGAATTCTCTGTACATCTGGTCCTACAACTTGTCCTGTGGGTAATACGCTGGCAGACATTTCAAACCTCAAACGCACATCTGTTGACCTAAAAAGAGTGTGTTAGACGCAACATACGACTGAGTGCATCTGACAGGCAAGAGTAGTAAATGGGGCACAATGTATTCTGTCCAGTATGTACAATCGCGATGGTATAACAGGCTGATGTACATACATGATGCATGATGACAAATCTACAGAAGCTGTCACTTCTAAATGTCTCTGCTACACAGTTCCTACAGGTCTCATTATGTGGAGGTAATAGGAGTTTAGTCGTTATGCTTTTCAGTGGAGCAGTGTGGTGTGCACATACACTAACAGAAGTGTTCAGCCATTCACCAACATGAAAACGGTCGTTAGAAAGCTGCAATACGGCATCTAAAGTGAGTCTCTAATTACTTTGTAATGTCATGCAGCTCACCTCACAGCTGACATCACCGGTTTACCAGTGTGTAGGATTTAGTGGCATACAGTGGTGAAGTTGCAGATTGATATCAAGTAAATACCGCTTAGACAGTGGCAATGAAACTTGTGAAAAAGGTGAAAGGCCGCATCTACAGCCAGTGTTTTGTTTGTCTGTTTTGAGCTACTGTAGAAACATGGTGGTTCAACATGGCAGCCTCCATAGAAGAGGACCTCCTCCCTCTGTAGATAAAAACATCTAATTTCGAGGTAACAAAAAGACCTTTTTTATTTTCAGATGAGTATACACTAATGGAAACACACCCTATATTCCATATCTGACCATATATCCTTGTAAATGTTACACACTGGACCTTTAATGTATCAAAGCACTGTTTAATCATATCACACAGCTAGTCTTTATAGAGTTTGCACAGTTGTCATGGAATTTTTTTTGGTTAGAGGAATTCCATACTAAATATTTCAATATCCTCAGCTTCATGGAACAATTTATTTGAGACTGAATGTGAAATGTGATTAACAAAATATTTTATAGTACAGGAATTGTGATGTAATTACCAAATATCAAAGGGATCTTGTGGCACACACTTGTGGAGCCTTTGGTTTATTATTTCCCCTAAGTAGGATGCCCTAAACACATTTATGGATTAAAGTTAAAGTTATGAATTGAGTCTTTTATTTCACAATGCATTCATATTACTGCTCAACCCGCCTTCTGTCTCAACCTAAAGGAAGACATATGTATGATCTGAATACTGAAGAGTCAGATGAATTCCAGGTGGGCCGACCGTCTGCAATCTACTTACGCTCCTTGAATGCGAGACATAACCTGACTCAGTTTAGGTTTCTCAATTTAACAGACATCATTAAATATAGTAACCATTCAGTAGGCGAGGTTTTAGGTGAGAATTTACAGTATCCTTTAATAAACAATCCATGGGTCCGGTGTCCATGTTCATTTAGTTTGACTACATTGGTTTGTCTCAAGAGAACAAATATTAAAAACCAAGAAAACAACACAAACACATAATCAGTCACTACATAGCACAAACATTCTGGTTCTTCAAGTATGTTCAGTCAGTAGTAAGTACATGGGATCCTGATGAAGATGCATAAAAAGTGCTCAAACGTACAGTTCTTTAAGACAATGGGCCTCTTGCAAGAATCACTAACAGATTTGTTTTTAAGTCATCTAAGAAAACAATGTTCTTGTACTAACAAGACTCTCTAATTTATCTCAAGTTGTGTGCAGAAAGTCTACCTTAAAATGCCTTAATCTGAATAAATTTGCAGTTGAACTATGTTACAGAAACCAATTTTATGCTAAATTAATATTGTGTTCACCGTATCACCATCATCATGGCCAATTTACTGAGAGGTTCGACAATGTTTTTTTGAAGGTTATACTGCCATATTTTAGAAGGGCAACCTCAACAATTCAGTATTTTTGCAGAAAAGTCTCTCACCCAGACAGCTACCTCGGGATGTAGGTGAACATCCTCAGATTTTTTTTTAATGAAATTTGCCAAAAAATGGACCAAAACTCAGGGACTTAGAGGTGTTGGTTATCCAAACGACCAAACCTCACAAACACTCACCTAATAGAAACAGTTGGAATTTATCAGGTTGAAACAAGTAAATGCTTGCACGTTTAACAGAGTTCGGCAAATCTG